CATTGAATTAAGTTCGGCGTTTGACTCAGGACTTCTTGTACAGTTATAGATACTGTACTTACAGTACATGTGAAATTATGCATATTAATTGTGTCAACATCATTCTTGTTTTCACTTTTATATGTCACAGCAGCCATCTTGGAGGAATTTTTTTGTTAATATCTATTGTTCATTCCTTCAACATGGCTGCCGGTCTTTTATCTTTTGAATCTCATGGGAATTGTTAAAAATGATCAATGACATTTTTTTTATAATTTTTTTTCAGGCTTTGAAATTTTTACATGATAAAGGATTTCCTTATGGTATGTAATGACATGTGTGCTGCATCTGTACAAAGTCATTCAGAATGTTTAATCTTTTTTTCATTTTCTCCCAGTTGGATGCGGCTTCCTGTGTAATTAAGTTGTTTGGCTGTGTATTCCCCCTTACCCTCAGCTAACACGAACAACCATATTCATTCTCTTTGCGAAGTTCATTTATTGAATTTTTCAGGTCACCTTCATACTGGTAACATTGCTATAGAAGGAAATGTGTGCAAGTAGGTATTTCATTATTTTTAACTCGTACAAAGTCAAACGAAATAGCCTGAGTATCAGGCTCTTTGATTTCTCTTACGTATCACTCAGCCCCAGGCTACTCAGCCCCAATCAACTTCGAGAAAGCCTGGTACTCAGGCTACAAAAAAGTAATAAAATTTGAGTGAAGGAATGCATWACGTCACTACTGTGATGTACATGTAAGCATAAGACAAGGACAAAAAAGGAATGAAAGAAATAAAAAGGAAAACGACAAAGGAATTAAGACAAGCGTGTAACAGAAGACATTGACACAATCATAACAATAATCATAAAGATCCCGTTACATTGTGTATTTTTCTTAGCAACTTTTCTCGTAACGACGAGGCGTCGTGGTGCAACTTTTTTTCGTTGCATGTAGCGTTGCACGATGTAAAACTCGGGTGTCCTTTTCGCAACACATTGTAGCAACTTGCAACGCCATTGTAAAACGTCTCAGCAACCTTTCTCGCAATTTTCGAGTCATATACGATGTTATGTCATGCACAAATTCTCATTTCGAATGTGCACCAYCTTAATTATGTTTCCCAACTTATCTCGGCCAATAAAATATCGCAAGAAAATTGAACAATGTAAGAGTGCAAGAACAAACGTAGGCCACACGTAAATAATGTAATGTCGATGGTTTTACCCATTTTAAGCAGTTTTGGATGGATAGAAAATGCTCTATTTTAAAGTAATAATACTACTATGTTATCTTCTTAGGTTATTAGAGATCGAGAATGGTTTACTTGGCATTCCATCAATTCACAGAAACAGATATGTACCTTACAAGAAGATAGTGGTGAGATTTGTTACTTCACTCAACACAGTCTTCGTCCACACAAAGCAAATTCTTTTTTGTCTACGCGATGTTTGCATCCACACATCACAATTAGTGATTTTCGGGACAAGAGCTTATGAGACTGTGTAGGGAAAGGCCGGAGGAATAATCTCTCTTCCGCCCTGCTTTCGCAAGCTCGTTCCCAGGTCCTTTTGCCAGGACAATACTGCCGAAAATGCATGCTGGATGGGTATTTGTATACATGTATACTTTCAATTTTTTTTTTAATTTCAATTTTAGTTTATTCACACTTTTCTGATCATTATTTACATTCATATGATTATTT